CACGATGGCGCTCACTCCGCGGCAGTACCGCTCCCACATGCTGCGGAACCGGGGCTGCCCACCGATGTCCCAGAGCTGTGACAGGGAGAGGGAGGGAGGCACTGCCCTGCCATGGTCCTGCCCAGGACCTCCCCATCCTGCCCAACACCTCCCCATCCTGCCCATGATGCCACCACCCTGCCCGTGATTCCCCCGTCCTGCCCGTGATCCCACCACCCTGCCCGTGATCCCACCACCCTGCCCACGACCCTTGCCCACACAGCTGCCTGGCCAGAGCACTGGGCATGCACCAAACCCACCCCCATCCCCTCCTCTTCAGCCTCCACGGAGGCTCCCAGCTCGGTAAGGGCAGGAGACCTCTCAGGAAGGCAGCTGGAGGGTGTGGAACACCTCCTGCGTGTGCCTCTGCTGGCACAGAGGGAGCCCTTGCCCAAGCTGGAGTGTTTCTCCTCATACCCTCCACACCTCCTGGCCCTTCACTGAGGCATTTGCCCTTCCAAAACACTCTGCACCCTCTCAGAAACATTTCTGCAGCAGGCAGAGATCCCCAATCAGCTTTTCAATCCCATCCCACCATTATTTCCCAGGCTCTTGAAAGACCCAGAAAGGGCAGAGACCTCCCCTCCCTTTGCTCTCAAGGCACAGACCCCCACTGGAAGCCACGACCTGCTTTTGCTGCTGCTCCCACCCTCAGCAAGGTGACTACACCCATGAGTTCCAACAAGCTAGAGGTGCAAGAAAACCTCCAGCTTTGAAGCCCAGACTCTTGCCACAAAGGTCTGGATCTCCTCCATCCCCTCCCACCACCTCCTCGAGTGGGTAGGAACCAAACAGGGCAGATCTTCCCAGCTGCAGCTTAGGGCTGCTGGCATCCTTCAGCCCCCAACAGAAGACCCACCCCTGTCCCTTCTCTCCACTTTTCACCCCAAGAGCCCCCAGCAGGGGTGAGGTTTGCTCCTTACCTTTATGGTGACGTTCCCCTTGGTGATCTTCCTCATGTTGAAGCCCACGGTTGGGATCATGTCTTCGTTGAACTGCCCTGACTGCAGGGGACAAGGTGACCCAGCGTTAGGAGGCACGGACACCCCAGCAGCATGCCCACCCCTCAGCAGGGCAGGGACCCCACAGCCCGCTCTGAAACAGCCCCCAAAGCTCCAGCACCCGCCGTGGGCACGGCACGACCCTGCCCTGCTCCACACCAGGGGCCAGACCAGAGCCACGGAGCCAGAACGCCCCTAGGATGGGAATGCTGCTGCTGCTGCAGGGGGTGCCAAGGGGCACGGGGTGCCATGGGGCACAGGGTGTCATGGGGCACAGCAAGCCATGGGGCACAGGGTGCCATATGGGGCACAGCAAGCCATGGGGCACAGGGTGCCATATGGGGCACAGCAAGCCATGGGGCACAGGGTGCCATATGGGGCACAGCAAGCCATGGGGCACGGGGTGCCATGGGGCACAGGGTGTCATGCTGCATGGGGTGCCATGGGGCAACTGGCACAGGTTGTCAAGGGGCACGGGGTGCCATGGGGCACAGGGTGTCATGGGGCACAGGGTGCCATATGGGGCATAGGGTGCCATGGGGCACAAGGTGCCAAGGGGCAGAGGGTGCTATGGGGCACAGGGTGCATGGAGCACAGGGTGAATGGGGCACAGAGTGCCCTGGGGCATAGGGTGCCAAGGGGCACGGGGTGCCATGGGCCATCTGGCACAGGTTGTCAAGGGGCACAGGGTGAATGGGGCATAGGGTGTCATGGGGCACAGGGTGCCATGGGGCATGGAGTGTCATGGAACACAAGGTGTCATGGGGGGGATATGGGGCACAGGGTGCCATGGGGCATGGAGTGTCATGGAACACAAGGTGTCATGGGGCACAGGGTGCATGGGGAACAGGGTGCATGGGGCACAGGGTGCCATGGGGAACAAGGTGTCATGGAGTGTATGGGGCACGGGGTGCTATGTGGCACAGGGTGCCCCAGCCCTGCAGCGAGCTGCCAGCCCAGCCCCAGCCCCACTGTGCTCTCGGGGGGCTGGCAGAGGCTCTCCCAGCCCAGCCCCATCCCCATGGGGTTCCCAAC